TGAAGTTGATAAAGAGCCCATGTCAAAGTATTGTGGTTAAGTTAAATCCAATTTATTAACCTACCTCTGAGATGAAGTGCAGCTGCGAAGAACGTACTTTCTCCTGTTTGACTACGGCAGGCAATGAGGTGCGTTTATTGTCTGTCTGTCAATTTGAGTTTCCATGAAACCGCGATAAACAGGTTGTTTTTTTTATTATTATGCCAACCCTTTTTAGTTTTGTAAGTATTGGCAATATTGAGAGGTCTTATTTTATTCTTACTTCATTTTGAAAATTTATTTGAATTAGGCCATCCAATTAAGATATATTTTATGTTGTTGGTTGTAAAGATCTGGATGGATATTTTATTTTAGTCTTCTATTTCTATTCTTTTTATTTTTCAAAACATTGTGAATTCTCTCTCTCTCTTTTTTAGAACCTACCCTTTTTAGTTTTGTTAATATTGGCAAAAGTGTGAAGTGTTATTGTTGGTTTTGAATATATTTGTTAAAGGCTATCCAATTGAGGTAAATGTCTTTTTTTTTTTAGTTGTTAGAATCTGATGAGCAATATTTTATTTTATTTTATTTTATTTTTGTTTTTGTTTTTTTGCTTTTCTGTTTTCCCTCTGACGGTTTGCCACCTTAACGTTGTCAGGGGGTTTGCATGCCATAGTGACCATAAAAGCTAGACCATCAGTAGCTTAGCCTTCAGGTGGGACACCCAAGTTGGTCAGGTCTTAGGGTAGAGGCCTGACAAAGTGCAATCCACTTACATGACAAAAACAGTTATCCAGAGTAGGACTGCCACGATATTCGACTAGTCATGATTACGTTGACTATCAAAATCGTCAACAACTAATTTAATAGTTTAAAGCTTTATAAGATCCTGAAAGACGCAGGAATAAGTAGTAGGATTTAAGAGTGTAATAACGGAATGAAACAGAAGATAGCAGCAATGAATGTACAAAGATGCCAGCTGCCGTTAAATGCCAAAGAAGAAGAAGAAGAAGAAGAAGCAGTCTCTGGTATCGTAGAAGCTGTGTCCAAATTCAGGGTCTGCATCCTGGAGGCCGGATTTGAAGGCTGATTACGTTACAGCGAAGCAACGAAGGCTGTCCAGATTCAAAGGCTCCTCAATATGTGGCCGACAAATGTGTCCTCTTTTTCCCCAGATTTTAAGCATGGGTCTGGTGTATCCTTCGTGGCCCAACCTATCCCAGAATTCATATTGCAGCCCAGCCATTTCCAGTTTCCAGCAATGGCGACAGCTACTTAGTTTTAATATTACCCTTTCTGGGTCACAAAATAAACTTTTAAGATACTTTTAAGAATGTAGCTGTGTAAACTTCAAATATCTGCTCGATTTATCAAGATATCACATATTTGCAAAAGTGCTCCGACGTTTTCGGAGACGTCTGTTACCCACTAGCTTGATAGCTAGCTGGGGGTTCAAGGCTCACTAGAGCCGGTGAACTCAGGTTAAACATGATAACTTCAAAATGTTATTGTTTTTTTTGTTTTTTTCATTCAGTGTTTTATTTGTTCTTGAATAAAACGGTTTGGCTGAGATTAAAGTTATAGTTTTCAATCAGCTGAATAAACATCAAACAGAAAACCGATTAAACAGAAGTGTGAGATGGTTGAGAATTTACTCCAGTGTCCTGTTATAAAAAGAACACACCAGCACAGCTCAGGTTTGCAAAATTACATCTGAACAATCATCTCTAGGAAAAGTAACCTGTGGACAGGTTAGATCAATGTGGAGATGTTTGGCCATAATGGTACCACATATGAAAGAGAAGCAAAACGTGTATATCGACACAAACACCTGATAACAACTGTTAAGCACGGTGGTTAAGGACTGATGATTTATGCTCGTTTTGCAGCCACAGGACTTGGTAAACTCCTCTGTACATTCTACAGTCAAATGTGGGGCCACCTCTCCGACAGCTTTGCTGAAATTGGCTCATGCCAAGACAATGGTTCAAAGCACAGCAGCAAATCCACAACAAAATAACTGGAAAAAAAAAGAATCAAGATGTTGCACATTTCAAGTCTGGACCTCAATCCAATGAAAATGCTGTTAAACCTTAAGAAAGCTGTCCATAAACAAATGCATGCAAACCTTGTAAAGAACAGAAGAAGTGAGTCTTGGATACCTGAAAAATGTCTGGCACTCACATAATCACTGTGATTAGTGAATATGAATTACTGTCACTATTATTCCCAATTCTCTCATCATTTACAGTTAAATGAAAATAAAGAATAATCACTTATTTTTTCTTCCAGAAAGAAATTAACGCACAGTAACCTGCATTCCTACTAAAATTTAGGAATGTAGTGGAGACTGGCTGCAAGCCAGTTAGAGCCCTAAGAAAGCTGTTTATTTACTTACTTTACTTTAAGCTTATTATGCTTAAACTATGAATAAACCTTGCCCGCTATCTTTTGAACTCGTAATCTCACTATAAATTTTTGGACTACAGTGTATGGCATACAAAATTATATCACGTTATTTAATAAAGAATGTCCTAGAAATGCCTTTTCCCTTAGGTTTCTAAAGTATTGCAGCATGATTTGACAGAAAGGGTGCACACGATCCAGTTTTCAGTGTTAAAAAGAGATGCGACTCATTAAAACATTGGTTCCCCAAACTGTGGAGCAGCCACCTAATCCAGTAGGGAACAGAAACCCACCATAGGGATTTGGTCAGCCAGAGGAAAAATACATTGTGGAAAAAACTCAGTTGCCAAACCAAAACGACAATAAAAACATAAATTCCTATAAAATGATTGCCATTTGTTAGTACTAGTTGTGAGTTATACAGAGATATTACATTTTACTTCAACTTTCTAAATATTAAAATTTAATCACTATTGTCATATTCATTATGAAGCATTTCTCCATTCCTTCATTGTAAATAAGAGCTATTAACAATAATTTACAAAGCGCTAGTTTTGAATGGAAACCTTTAATGCAGTAGAAGACCAAGCTGTGAATTAAATCTGCAAATCGGATAAAAAACATAAGACAACCATTCTCTAAATCATGTCAGAAAATAGTGGCATATATTATAATGAACCTGCATGACTGGTACAAGCTGCATGCATGCATATGTGGCGACTATCCATGAACATCTTTTTTATATTAAAAAAACATACTGCACATTTCAAAAAAACATAAACGCATTCCTGTCTGTATGGAAATATCAGACAAAACAAGAAGATAGGGACTGAAGCCAGACTGGAAATAGTAAAAAGAAAAAGGTCTGATAACCAGACATATGTTAGCTACCATGTGAGTATCTTCAGTTACATCTTAGAAGCTGAAAAGCTGCAAACCTATGAATCCATATTATTCTTGACCTTAAACCTCAGAGAGGCAGAAGTGCAGACAAAAAAGAAGAACAAAAAAAGCATACCAAATGAATTAAAATATTCAGGCATAAGAAATTTGAATAGGCTTACAGTAAGATTTTCAGTAGCATATTTTACATAACCACAAAGTAATTCAATGCACTGGCACACATATAAGTAAAAAGCAAGGCTTAAAAAAAACTTTTTTTTAGTAGAAAGAAAAATCTGGCGCAATTTAAATTTGCTTCTCTCCTCCTTAAACTAATCTTAAAAGCACATCAATATCACTATTAGTATTGTTACTGTGCTACTGTATATATTCATAATAGTATTTTGACATTACGATATTAAAAAGTAAATCATTACAAATATACCTCAGAGAGTGTAAACAAATCCTGACATCATGCAAACTGGAGACATTTTGATCCGCCACATGACGACAGTCATTCAGCACGTTACAGCTGAACACATCCTGAGGTGGAAGATCAGTTTGGTCCACTACAGATCTTGAAACTTATACATTCAACTGAGTCACAACTAGATCAAAGAATTAAAGAAGACATCCAAGTAGTCCGAACGCTGTTTGTGGGTTAGACACCTGATGAACGCGTCCACTGGGAAAATGTCTGACTTCCTTGAGACATAAAAAGCTTCTGTCCTCTTGGGATAGGAGGTGTTTGATCCTCAGTACATGAAAAAGGTCACTGAGAAAGAGAAAAACCTGATGGCTGATTTGCAGCATTTGACCACTTTTCCCTGTTTAGCATCAGGATACAAAATGCGCTCTCATGTCTTTTGTGATTGGCAGTAAATTGTTTGATTTTCGCATAAATACCTTCTTGCTTCTTCCTACAATCTGGATCCAGCGGGGTCTCACAATATCACATGTTAGGGCAGTTTTTCAGTAGAAAAAGTGCATAAGGTCAACAACAAGCAATAAAAAAAACACATTTACTCTCTATGTTAATGATAAAAGATAATGAAAAATATCCAAGTAAAACACAATCATATTTGATGTTGGGGTTTTGTAGTAATTTTTAATTTTTCTAAACACCTGGAGTCCCTAGAACAATAGCCGTATCAAAGTTGTCTTTGGAGTTTAAAACTGAGTTTGAAACATGTCAGAAAAGCAGTAAAAAGTCTTTAAAATGCCCTTATTTTGATTTCAGTCCAATTTTTTAAATCCTTCTATTGGTATTCCTCTCTAAGTCCTTCAGTACTCAATGAGGTCATGTGTGGGTGTGCCCAGTCGCAATCTGAAAATAAGCATCTGTTCATTGAAAAAAACCTTAAACATTCATAATATCCACATGAAGAAAGGCATCAAAGAGATTGGTCCAGTGGGAAGTTTTGTCTCTTGGAGTTTAAAATACTCCCTGGATAGAAAATTTAAAAAGGAAAATAAGTTGTGGGAGGGGGGTGCAGGTTTAAAGAGAGGACGAGCTCTGGCTGTAATGTCTCAGCAGCAGCTGGTCATATTCAGCCTCAGAGGCAGGGGACAGGGAAGGGGGAGAGCTGCCATTGGAGCTCAGAGATGAGTCTCTAAATGGAGAGGGAGGCGTCAGAGCCATGAGCTCCTCCATATCCTTGGCCCGTCTGCTACTCACGCAAGTCCCGGCCAGGTGCTCATAAATCTTACCCGCTGGTCGATTCTCGCAGAAA